CTAGATTAGTAATTTAATGATAATTGAACTGCATTAGTACATTGTTCATCACAGCTTCTAAAAGCATTTCCCCAAATAACACTACATTAATAGGTTTCAGATATAAAGGCCTGATATTGCAAAGATGATTATTCTGCTTTCTACCCATCCATTCAAAATTTCTATGCGAATGTTTGTTGAAATTTCATTTAAAACTGTGTGTGTGTGTGTGTGTGTGTGTGTGTGTGTGTGTGTGTATAGAACCTAGGATCTCATACATGCTAGGTGGGCCCTCTACTGTTGGGCTATTTCCTCAATCCCTTTACATATTCCTTTACTTTCAACTTTGCTTAGTCATTTCAAATTAAGTAAGATGCAGGATATTGGCTTATGGGCTGGTAAGTCCCGATAGGACAGAAGTCCATCATTTGGTGTGACTGCATATATTTCATCAGATTTAAGCTTTTTGTTTTTGTTTTTGTTTTTTTTTTCTCGAGACAGGGTTTCTCTATGTAGCCTTGGCTGTCCTGGAACTAACTCTGTTATAGTTCAAGACCAGGCTGGCCTTGAACTCACAGAGATCCACCTGCCTCTGCCTCCCAAGAAGTGCTGGGATTAAAGGTGTGCACCACCACCATCGGGCTCAGATTTGATTTTTATAGGGAATGAGTACAACTGACTTAATTTTGTGTCTGGTGTCTTCTATTTTCACCTTTTATTTCTGTTATTGTTTTCTGTTTTCTACCATTTATGACATGACCCATAATTTATCTGTTTTCAAGCTTATTTTCCCAAAAGTAGGTCACTTGCTAGCATAATTTCTTTTTAATATGCTTCTTATGTACGTATTTCTCAGTTTACAAACTTTAGAAATGAAGCAACACATAAAACCTCTGTGTTTTTAGCGGTTTGACAGGTTTTTCATAATCCAACCTAGCATTATTTATATAGACCTGGGAATTTGATAGAAACTTGTTGCTGTGCCTGATGGATAATTGAATTACCCCTGCCATAGGAAGGAGGGAGATGTTGTCAGACTTCATGATGTACAGGGATGAAGAATTTCAACATGACTGACACTTCATTGATTTTTTTTCTTCTCTTTTGTGGGTTAGCGTAATTATTTTTTCTAGTTATTACAGAAGAAATGGGCTTTTAAATATCATTTCTTAAGGTTTCAGTCGTTTGTAAGACACTACTTCTCCTGCCTCCAGGTTCCCAAACATGCTGTGGAAACCACCACTGCTACTACCTGTCCAAGAGCCTTCGTAACCGAAGCAGTGAGATGCATTTGGTGTGGAGATTGTTCCTGCCACAAATGGGCAGACGGTCAGTGGTGGGAACTCAGCTTTGAGAAGTGGCAGGAGGGAGCAAAGCCATGTTCTGTGTTCTCCACACAACCATTCTCCTCCATTGTCCAAGAAAGTCATTCTGGAAGCTTCTGGCTTTATCTTGTCCACTAGCATGTGACCAAAATTCTCTCTTGCATTATGTGAAGCAAAGGAAGAGATGACGTAACAGGCTGAGAGAAGCAGAGGGAGAAGGGGGGGCAGAGGGAAACGTAAAAATGAGGTTGACAGTTGAATCTGTGGCAAATTTCCAGTAACAGTATGAAACAGTTAAATTTTTAGAAGTATTTGTTCCAAACATCATGGTAAATAGTTGCAGCTTTGCACAGTGTGTGTGAGTCCATGTAGGGTTCATCTGGGCCCTTTCTCTTAATTTTCTTGATTTAAAACAATGTGAGGTGTTCTCAACAGTGGCATACTGTGTCTCCGAGCCGTCTACTATCAATCATCAAAATTCTAATGTGTCTTATTTTTTTGTGGATTCATTTATGGAAAGGGAGGAAGAGAGAGAGAGAGAGAGAGAGAGAGAGAGAGAGAGAGAGAGAGAGAGAGAGAGAGAGAGAGAGAGAGAGGGAGGGAGGGAGGGAGGGAGGGAGGGAGGGAGAGAGAGAGAGAGAGAGAGAGAGAGAGAGAGAGAGAGAGAGAGAGAGAGAGAGAGAGAGAGAGATGTCAGAGTCCCATGTATTCCAGGCTGACTTAAAACTTCCTGTGTACCAGAAGGTGACTTTGAACTTCTGATCCTCCTGCCTCCATTTCCCTAGTGTTAAAAGTGCCGCTGTTTGCTTTCATAGTACTGACTGGACCCCAGGCCTTAAAGTGTATCAGGCAAATGCTGTACTCACTGAGCTACACTTCCCACCCTTGCTGTGGATTTTTAGTAGGAGAGCTTTTCTTTGTTGTTTCGGGTTGTTTGTCTTTACTTTCAGGGTCATCCACGTTTTGGGGGGTTTTGTTTTTATGCTTTTCTATTTAGGAGACATTTTGCTAAATTCTGTTATTGAATTTTCTAACTTTTCTCTCACACTGGCTTTCCCCCTGATCTTCTGAGCGATTTCTGCAAACAGCATTAGCTCTCCGTTCTGCACTTCATCAAAACTGTCTCTCACTTTGTTCTTCGTCTTTGAAGGAACATCTGCCTGTGGCCACCGTGGACTGCATGGACGCCTCCACTGTTTGCCTTCTGTTCATTAAGAGTGGACAACTCCAGCGCCTCCTGTGCTCACTGTAGTCAGGAAATCAATTTAGGCTTCAGCCCGCCCACTGCCAGGCTTAGCTAAGCACAGGCCTCCTTGAATAGCTTGTGTTTTCAATGAAGACTCTAGAATCATGATGTCCCGAGCGTTCTGGGAATCCCAGTGCTCATAACTCTGTTTCTAAGGTTATTTTCAGTTGTTGTAGAGGACAAGGTACAGGACCAGGTCATTTGGCTGTAGTGACCCACCTTAACCCTGCAGTCCTGGGTCTTCCTGGTCACACCTTTTAGAACATGATCAGTTATTTCCTCATTGTACCTTAAAACAGCCTCTATAGGCAAGAGCTTCCCATGGCTGCCTTCTATTCACTTGCCCAAATAAGAGAGATTCAACCGACTCCTGTCTCTTAAACAGTTTTGACTGTGGAATCCACTTTAAAAGTACCATCTACAATATTATAGGCTCTTTAGTAAACAGTGTCTATACTGAAAGACTCAGAGATGGCATTCCTTTTATTACAGTTAAGCAGAGGTGCCATGCTCTTCAAGTCAAATCAGACAAATGGAGTATGTTTCCCTACATTGTCTCAATTCAGGAACACAACTAAGGTATATGGATCCCTGGAAAAATGCTATGTGGTATAGCACTACCTTGTATGGAAAACTGTTCTACGGAATTCATGGAAACGTGTTAGTGATTGTTTTATGAGTTTTTAAACAGGAAGAGAAGAAATGTGCCTGTAGTTGCTCATTACTCTGTCAGTACCCACGAGAAGTCTGAATGGAGAAATGCTAAATCACATGCCAGCTGCATTCTGTTCTATGGGTCCCTTGCCACGGAATTCCACAAAGGAAATGAATCTGTTTCTGCAGATGTGTTCTGATTTCCTTTTGGAACTGGGATTCTGCCACAGTGATGGATTTATAAAAGTCACATTGTTCCCAGGGCACCTAGTTATCCTTGCTTAGAAGATAAAGGATCACAGTACACGTGAAAGGAGAGACTCGGGGGGCTAGGAACCTCACAGGTGTCCTGTCCTGAAAGCATTGTCAGCCCTGGACAGCACCACCCTGACTCTTGAGTGAGGTTTAGAAACATTTAAAGAGAGTGTTCCCAGGAGAGGGTTATGTCTGCCACAAGAGTCTAATTGTCTGACTCAGGGAGGAGCTGTCCCAGGGCACACCCGAGAAAGTACTTCTCATCTTCTGTCATTTTAACAAGCTGGGGAGTCAATTGTTTTCAAAGTAAAGAGTCATAAAATGGTACATGTCACCTTCAGGAATGGGGGTTTGTTGGAAGGACACTATAGTCCCTTTACTCCATGCCTCTGCCTCTCCAGTATCATTTCCCCCTCCATGTCACCCACGGTAGCAATTCTCCTGCTCCCTCCCTCCTAATCATTTCTTGCCTCAAAGGACAACTTGGTAAATTTGGTTAGTTGCTTACCAAGTTATAGAATGTTCTGGTTCAGTCATACATGGCTATTATATCAGGATTGGTCTGCCTAAAAATAAACTGGAGCTTCTCTTAAACAGAAAATTGTGTGCCTGATAGGCATGTTGAGGTCAACATAGGGATCTTATTCTACTTTAATTGCGAGACAGGATCTCCTATAGCTTAGCCTGGTCTAACACTTGCTATATAGCTGGTAATGATCTTGATCCCCTGATCCTCCCACCTCTACTTCACTTCCCAAGTACTAGGATACATGCAACACTCAGCTATTCAAGACTCTTGGTACATTTCATCAGAGTCTTCTCAAAGGGCAGCCCCAATGTACCTAGTCACCAGAAGCATAGGAGGGGCCCTCTTTTCTACATACATTTGCTAAAAGTGATGTGATATGTTTTTCTCTTTTAAATAAGTAATGTAGCAGACAAAAAGTGGCTAGAATAGTTTAAATGCACACAGGCACCTTCTCAAGAAAAACATTAACTTCCATAGTAAATACTTGTTACTATTTTTTTAAATTATCTATTACCTGGCCTCTGCCAGATGTTTTTGTGGGGAAAAGAACTTGGTGCACTCATTTACAAACAGTGGCCTACCAGATGTTTTTATTTAATAACAGGTATTGTGCTTTTAAAGTTTAGGTCTTGTTGTATAATCCAAGCTAGACTCAATGTCATGGTGCAATCTCCTTCCTCAGCTTTCTGAGTTCTGGAATTACAGGCATGTGCCATCATACCAAGGTCAATTAATAATTAATTCTTAAGCTCCACATTATTTTTTCATCATGTCTTTTTAAGGAAAGCATGGTAGTGCAAGGCTTTAATCCTAGCACACAGGAGGCAGAAGCAAGCAGATCCCTGTGAGTTACTGGCTAGCTTGTTCTACATAGCAAGTTCCCAGGTCAGCCAATGCTAATAGTGAGACTCTGTCTCAAAAATTAGGGTTTTTTCTGTTTTACATTTATTTTTACAAATGCCTTGCTTCTTGGTGGAAGATGTTTTTTACTAGTCAAGAAATAAACTGTGAATTGAAATTGATATCAGTTTTATTTCATAATTGACAAAACATTTCAAATAAAACAATTACAACTAAAAGCACTTCCAGCTTTGGTTTTAGCTTCACATTCATTTCATACAGTGCACAATATTTATAAAATACTCCTCTTGGTCATTTTATAACAGGGGCTAAATTAGCAAGAGTTCTGCTGAAGAGCTAAATGAAGCAGAGGATTTCTTCTCTCATTTCCTTCCCTTGGGAGGTAGGAACAGTTTTCATTCCCAGTATGAATGACTGATAAAAAGCATGCCTTCTTTGCTCCTCATGTTAAACACTGAGGATGACATCCAACCTAAAATTAGCCTTGTTACTAAGCTGATGCTCTTGCAAAATCTTACCGGGGCTATGTTACAGCTTCTACATTTCCTTAGTAAAAAAAGTCAGCTGCCAATGCATCTTAGCTTCTTGGTTTGCTTAATTTTTTTCCTCCCTTCTTCTCTTATATACTTAATTACAAGGTATTTTGGTAGGCTTTTTGAAGAATAATTTCTCTTGGGGAACAATGGATAGTACGAATTACATGAAATTAATAAAGATAGTCTATAGGGGATCTTTTATGCAAGTAGTTATATTCTTGAGCTATGATCAGACACTATTAGCTGGGACCAGTGGCCGCAAACCCCAACCTACAGAAGATTAAACAACAACACAAGCTAAATATCTGATGTATCAGGTTCTAAATAACCCCCCAGTGAACTCCTGTCCTTGGAGTAAAAGGACCACTGAAAGTCTTTGGCGCCCACATTAAAGATGCCTCCATCTGTTGATGTGGACTCCTTGGGTGACCATCCGAAACAGTGACCATTTAGCCTGTATTAGTCACCTTAAAAAGACTTTAGAGAAGGGGGAGATGGAATTCACAGAGCATCACCTGGGGGATGGTACCTGAGGGCTGAGGTGACCTGGAGGAATTCCTTTCTGGAGAGGCAGCATGTTTCCACTGTGGACTATCTCTCTGTAGAATAATCCTTATTTGACCGCAGAATTAACAGGGAAATTCCCCCTAGAGCAGTGGTTTTCAACCTTCCTAATGCTGTGACCCTTTAATACAGTTCCTCATATGTGGTGGCCCCCAACCATACAATTATTTTTGTTGCTACTTCATAAATTGTAATTTTTGCTACTGTTATGAATTATAATGCAAATATCTGTATTTTTGGATGGTCTTAGGCAACAACTTGAAAGGGCTATTCAGCTCCCAAAGGGGTCATCACCTACAGGTTGAAAAACACTGCCCTAGATAAAATGCTTTCCTAGCCATTAGATCCAAATTCAATAAAGAAAATATAACTTGATGTTAAATAAAAATTTACTCTTAGGACAAATGGAGAGGCTGTTGCTTTGGTAATAACTACAACAGTCATGTTAAATCCTCTTGTTACTAAATTCAAGGGTTTTACTTCAATGATATGGGTAATTATACCAGGAAGAACTTGAAAATGAGTTTATCTGGCTGGGGAAAAAAAATTAAGTGTCAAAACTGAACCGTCTTAAGACACCAACAGAGCTTAGCTTTTTTGCTTAATTCTCATACATAACTGAGTAGAATCACGGGATTTTACAACATTCACTGTTCCATCATCTTGTACACACACATTATTAAAGCTCCGAGATTCTAGGATGCTACTGACTCAACTCGTTAACCAGAAAGTAACATTAAAATTCCTTGATGTTAGTGGCTTTTGTCTGTCAGCAGTCACATGGGAAAGTGGATGGGGATTGCAGCCACAGGCAACGGACAGCTAAAGTCTTCTTCACTGAAAACATACAAATACGCATGATTTGTACGTTAGAATCTTTAATCGGTATCTTTAATTCAACGCCTCACACTGAATTCAAAATACATAAATATAGAACTTTTTGAGAAAATAATACTCTTGTGAGACGTAAGTGAGAAAACTGTGTTGAAAAGCCACTGTGCCTTACTCAGTAATGCTCAGCTTTCATGAGCCTATCAATTTGGAAAATCAGTCCTTAGTGCCATAACCCCCAAATTCTGTTTACCCTATATATCATTTCCTTTCTAGATGAGACAAAAATAAAAAAATTAAAAAAAAAGAGAATTAAAAACAACGAAAGCCCAGACTCAGGAATCGGGAAATGCCTTGATGATGGACTCATAGGCAGGTGGGGGCGGTGTGGAAAGGCCCATCCGCAAGCTGTTGCTGGACCAGCGGAAGTCAGGCCGGCTCAGATTGTGCCCGGTGCTGATGGCGGATGGGGTGGTGGAGGCAGGCAGGGTCATCAGCTGACTCTCCGTTTCCACCGGAAGTGGTGGGCATTGCAGGAAGGGATGGAAAGTTGAAGCCCTGAAGCTTGATTTCCTGGGGAAGGAATTTGCCAGCTCCATGGAAGCTTGTCTCTGGAAGGTGAGACTGGCCAGGCTGAGGTTGCTTCGACGCTCACAGCCACTGTGGCGGTAGAATCCAGTTCGGTTGAGGCCCTGGTTGTAGGACCTGGGTCGCCTGGTGGGACTCCACTGTGAGATGGGAGCGCTAGCTCTTCTTCTTCGAGACAGGAAAACGAAGAGCGCCCAGAGAAATCCTCCGATTGCGAGCCCAATCGCCACAGAGACAGTGAAGGACATTATAAGGTCCTCTAAAACAAAGAATAGTCAATAAACCAACAGCTCTAATTTCTAAAACAATTCATTTAAAAACACAGGGCAGAGTATGAACTGTAAATCACGGAATGAGTTCTGAATTTTAACAAACTTGGAATTAGGGAAATAGAGAATGATCAGGACTCGCCTTATTCAAACAGAAAGCTATAAAAAGCATTGGCTCATGTTCCTGTATCATCTTTAGAAATGCACGTCTCGTTGAAGCTCAACTTTAACTTACCAGTTTTTCTTACAGAACTGCAAATGTCCACAGCTCATTTCCTTTTGAATTATGATTGGAGCTAACGTGCCCCTTGGGAAAGAAGGTCATCACAACATTCAGCATGCCTTCCTCCCTGTCTGCTTTGCTCCATCACAATGATTTCTCCCACCTGCAGTCTTGATGGCAACTCACTTCCTGCGCTCTGTCATAGGTAGAGTCATAACCATCTGGAGGACTGACTGATTTATGTCGTATTTCCTTAACACCCAGACTCTCAGAGCCCTGACTCCACAATGACATGACCCGTGTGGTTCCAGCTCCTGCTTTTCTTATGTCTGTGTTGTGATAATAAAACTCCGTCTCCTGAATCTCCACACCATTTCCTCTGCACACCAGTGTCCTCCAGTTCCACTGAGCTTGGATTTGCTCTGATTTCCTCTGCAGACAAGTACATATACGTGCATATCTTCCTCTTCTCTCAATAGAGGTGCTACCTGGCTGCCCCTTAGCAATTAGAAATTGAAAGCATATTCTTAACGAATTTATTGGAGTGGCTGAGCCCTACTCTACATGGAAACCCTCTAGATATTTGAAGCCCCTTCCAGCTAGTGCTCAGAACGTTCCTCATCCTGCATTCCATGTGCCAACCGCCAACTGCTGTTTGCTTTCTGTCTCAAAGCCTGTGATTCTTTCCAATCCTCTGAGCTTTCACATATAATTTTCCTTATATAGGGACATAAATTTCTTCACCTGGGGAACTCATTTTTATAGAACTATTCCAAGTACTGTCTTTCTTGTACAAAAAAAAAAAAAATGAGTTAGCCATTAAGTAGAAAGGTAAGGTGTATATTAAATTGCTTATACAAGGATTCTGTAGGCAAAGAGCTATAGACAGGAAACATGTTTATGAAGGTATTAGTACTGGGGCCACGGGCACAGAATCTTTGTTTGTAATCCCACTAGCAGATAGAACCTATTCCCTACTCTAAGGGCATCAATGGGACTCACTTGACCAATGGGAAGCAATGGAATTGAGGTTTTGTAAGTTCTGGTCTAAAGTTCAAGAGACTTTCCACTTCCACCCTGGCTGGTTTGGGGATTTCTCCATGGCAGACACAGGAATAAAGCCAAGCTAGCGTGGTAGCCAATGAAAGACACAGGGCTATTTGAGTACTATCCCTATGGCTCTGACTGGGGGCTTGCTATCCTGGACATGACAATGGAATGATTTGCTCTAGGTCATTCAGATGCTGGCAAACCCCATCTGACTACAGGGCAAACCAAAGACCAGCAGAAAAATCCATCTTGTTGGCCCCACGCTGAATTGTCAACCCCAAACCATGAGCTAATTACCTCATTATTATTTTTACAAAACTCTGCTTTGAGGTGGTTATTGATTAGCAAATGCTCATTGATTACAAGGTTACACAATTGCAGATCCAGCACTATTGAATAAATATTGATGAGTTTGTTTAATCTCACCGATGTCATTTTTTTTAAAGGTGGGGGAAAAGCTAGGTTTTAAAACTGCCGATCCTTTCTCCAGCTTATTGATGTAGCATGTAGAAAATCTAGAATGCAGAAATAAAACAAATAAATGCTAATACATATGTAAGCACAGTCACCACTACCTAACTGTAGGATTTATGTTATAGTGCCCCTCTACCTCCTATCGCCACAGGAATGTCCTGTGGCAAAGCTTTGTTGTTATTGCAAATATCTTCACATATAATCACATGAAAACCTTCCAAAACACTTCACATTAACCATAAACTAGATTCTTTATGAGATGGCTTTTGAAGTCTAAGACAATTTAGGACAAAGTTACTGAATCCAGTACTGATGTTTTGAAATCTTCCTCACAAAAGTAAGGAGTTATAGCATTGAAGTTCCATCTTCTTAGAGATTTCATAGAATCAGATATTATTTTAAAAATCAAATAAACATAATTGAACCTAAAAATTTGTCTTACTTACTCTGTATGATTCAAACTTAACTTTATCAATGTCCCCAAATCTAAAATTCTGATTATAAAGAGGTTTCAGAAATTGTGCTCCTAACTACCACTGCTACTGTGCCTTCCAACCTGAAGGTCTTAAAGTTGACCACGGTTCTCAGAGAACATAATCACAACCTCAATGCTGTGAACATTTAGTGGAGGTCACCATCTAGTGGACCACTGTTGAATTGTTGCAACATCACAACATGGTTTTCATAAGTGGTCATAAAATGGAATGCTGGTTAATACATTCAAAGCTCTACAGTTGCAGGACTCATGGGCTCACCCCGTCCCCAAATAGACCACCCTATCTCCACTTCCGAAAGTGTAGATGAGGATGGTTTCATCAATAGGAAGGTTGTGATGAAAGGACTTTTGGGGGAATAGGCTTTAGTGTACAGAAATGTGAATGGTTAAAATTAGCTGGTTATGCAAAGAATAAGTAGTTTCTGCATTTGTCACATCATCTGGGAAATTCTGAGATGGGCTTCATGCTTTATGCTTCTTGCCTTGGCAGCATCATCCATGTGTGTCCAGCTGCCCTCTCTTTTCAATCATGTAATAGGTCCAGTCACATCACACATGTGTTCCAACGACTTCCCCTCCAGAGTAAAAGCCAGCTCCTAAAATTCTCCTATCTGAAAGCTGCTGCCCCGTGGTTGAGCTCACCACCTGATTCCGTTCTCTTGTTCTTTACCAAATATGCTTCTGATCAAGGGCTGGTGCCTAGTTCTAATCTGTTCTTTCAAAAATATGTTTGTAGATATCTACATGGTTATTTTTTCCATGTCTTTTGTTTTCTTCCTTTTTCCTTTAGGTATTACCTAACCTTCTTGTTGAGGCCTCCTCATTCCAAAATTATATCCTGACCCATTTCTTACACTCAGTTTACCCTCCCTCCCCATTACAGGAAGCGGGTTCAATTCATATTCCTGGAAAAATAAGTAAATGAGATGTCTATGCATTACAAGCCCTCAGACTTGAAACGTGGGAAGCTGACTTCTGTCTGTAATGGTAAAAAGGAATGAATGAAAGCAATAATGTTAGCACTGACACCTTGAATAGGGTGGTGGACAAAAACACAGGCTTGGAAGATTCCGGTGTGGTTTTTATCCAACGGTGCTTGATCACAATTCCCAGGACATGAAATCAACCCAAGTGCCCATAGCCAGATGAGTAAGTTGAGGAAATGGAGCCTGTGGAGTCCTGAGTGGCATAGTGATGGTTTATTGAGTGGTGGGTCCCCTTTATGACAATGGTTTCAAAGGACTTTATCACTGAGCACAGTCAAAGACATCTTAGATTGTGTGTGTGTGTGTGTGTGTGTGTGTGTGTGTGTGTGCAGTGTGTGTGCAGTGTGTAACGCCTGCGTGACAAAAATCCAAATAATGCAATTCTCAAAACTAACCCAATGTTATTTAGTAGCCTATGAATATGTATGAGTAGTGTATAATAATAGAATATTATTACTGGACCTAAAAAGAACAGAAAGGAAATTCTGTACTTTAAAACAATATAGATGAATCTGAAAAGGCATCATAGAAACTTAAATAAGTGAGACACAGAATGGACGAGTCTTCACTGTAGAATTCTTTGAACGTTTTTGTCCAGTGAATATTTTCATAATGAAGTTGAGAAGACATGTCAACATAGCATAAATGACTTCTACCAGATAGGTTTGAAAATATAATTTCAAGTGGCAAATTCTTGGAAAATACAAACTGTCACGACTACTAAATAATTCAGAAAAATCTGAGTGGTCCTCTGATGAGCTGGAGGGATCGCTCAGTGGTCACTGCTCTTGCAGAGGTCCTAAGTTTGGTTTCCAGCACCCACACATCCACACTGACTGGGAGCTCACAACCACCTGTAACTCCAGCTTTGGGAGATCCAACACCTCTGGCCTCCAGGGGTACCTTTATTTATGTGGGCACCTACCTACCTACACAGACATATACATTCACACACACACACACACACACACACACACACACACACACACACACACAATTTTAAAATAAAATTTTAAATTTAAATGTGTTATTTTAAAACTTCCAGCTAAAAACACCATATGTAATGAATATGTAGTGAATATTTTAGATAATAAATAACCACCAACCCAATTTTATATACACTCTTTGAGATAGTTCAAAATTAATAAATACTTCTGACTTGTTTTACAAGGCTTGCATGATGTTGATACTCAAATCTAACTTAATTTTCACAAACAAAGACAATTCTCATGATTTCAGTGCAGAAGTCTGGAGACCAGGGATGCACGAGGAAGTACACACAGACTTATGAGCTCTAGTTCAATGATAACCTTAGCTCCATGGAGCCCAGGGAGAGACGCAATCTCTTGACTCTTCCTCAGAATCCAGATGCAGCTGCTTTAAGAACCTACATTTGTAAACACTTGTTCTTCAAAGTCTTTAAGTAATAGACATATGGAAATAATTACCAGGCTATTCATATGTAATAATGCATAATTGTTGAAGAATTTTTTATGCATACAACCAAAGAAATGAGCTGGAGAAATGGACAATGTTTGCTTGCTGTTTTGAGAGGATGTTATGGAGACCCATGAATTGCCCATGCCTGCTCCACCACCATCCCAATACCCTGTGAACATCTTATCTCATATGCTTGCTATACCCCTAAAAGTCACATTTTTTTCTGCAGGCTAGGGCACATCATTTGCTGTAGGTTGAGGTATAACATGTTTTTTTATAGGCTGAGGAACCCACCCCTTGACAGCCCTAGCTCCCCCAACAAATCAGTTTGTAACCCTCAGCTACCTCAGAGCAGAGTAAGGCAATAACAAGGAGGCATGGAAGTGTGTGTTCTACTCCTAAACTGCCAAATGAATCACTAAATACGAAGACTGGAACATCATTTTGGAAGCCAGCACTGTTCTGCAATAACAAGGTGTTTTATAACCGAGACAGTGTTTGTGGTTTGTTTCTTTTTCTGTTCCAGCTTCAAAACACTAGAAGCCTAAAGAACTCAAAAATGTAAGTTTTTGCCATAAACAGTAGCAGGAAAGAGAAAGTATCATTTGCATGGTTTTTCATGAACAGTGTAAAGAGAAGTTTTGGGGAGAGAAAGACAAGAGCTTTACAGTATATGAGCTATGAGGGCTCTAGGAATGAGGCCATTCCTCCATCCCTCCATCCTTTAGGGAATCCCAGTACCCACTGGTACCCTCTCCTAGATTCCTGGCTAATATATGTAGAGAGGCTAAAAGGTCCCCATGAGAAGCACTGGGTGCCAGAAGATCAGAATAAGAGTCAGTCTCCTGAATTCCAGCATCACAGGAGAATGTTAAAGTTGCTCTGGGCACTGAGACAGATGGGAGAGTAATGGAATGAGAGTCAGTAGACCGACCAGACAGTCTCACCAAAAAAGAAAAATTATGTTCTTAGTCAGAAATGCACAGATCATAAGAACCTGGTTTTGCAATTAAGGACTCCAACAATGAAGACAGGGAGAGAAAAACACCCTCAGAGCAGATGAGGCACATTTGTCAGTAGATGTCAGCAGAGGACCTTGATCATGGTCCCTCTTGTACCTGAAGTACCCGTCATCTTCAGCCCTTACAAGCTATCTCCAACCTTAGAGAGAAACCCAAAGAAGGCAGAGACGAGGAGCCATAGAGTCACCACAGTGCAAGAAGTACCTCAAACTTGTACAACGCTATTCAGAATCTTAAAGACAGTTGCCTCTCTCCATTCTGATTTCCAGTTCTGTCCCTGTAATTTCCATCCGAATGTTCTGATCTGCCATTTGCTTCTTTGCACACATACCCTAGAGTTTTTACTTTACATATTTGCTGATAACAGTTCTCCTGAGTGCTCCCAAATTCTCAGGCAACCTCTGACCCGTATCATCTTGATCTGTTGCCTAATAAGGTCATCTAAAGCTTCATAGTGAATGAATGGACTGAAGGAGGTTGAGTTACCACGTCAGAAACGAATGACCAGAATGTTATCTGTAGAATTATCTTTCTATTTGGAACTTCTTTGATTTCCTAGCAACAGGTAATATCCCATTTTTCCCCCTAAAAATGATTCAGGGACCATTTTATGTTTTAAGTTCTATACCATATTCTCATTCTTGGTCATTTTGTGTAATATCATGATAATATATGACAAAACAGAGGTTGTTGATACTATCTATTGATTTATTTATAGGCTCCTATTTGCATATGTAGGAACACCTAATCACCTCCCAGAATGCAATTCTTTTAAAAGAGAAATCGTATTTTGGGGGAGGATCGATTAGATGAGTAAGTGCAAGTCATATACCAATACACTGTCTCAGCTTTTCACAGTGCTGGACAAATGGATGGAAACAACAACAACAACACAGTGAGAAGACAGCAGAGAGAACCAGAAGTGTGTGTGTGTGTGTGTGTGTGTGTGTGTGTGTGTGTGTGTGTACTCCCAAGTATGATGAGAACGCCTGAGCTCTACAACATTGTCAGCCCAATAGTCTCTGAGGGTCTCTGGTTCCTGCTGCCTTTAGGGGATGGTTTACAGAGAAGGGACGTGTATTACGTAGAGCAGAGGCAGAATGCAAGGTGGAGTCATCTGTGTTATCAGTCTCAGGCCACTCTTACTGGCGGCTAGCATCAATGGCTGTAGCGCTTGCACAACTTTTAGTAGGTTTGACTGAGTGATAGCTTTGAAAAAGTGCAAGCCTTCATTGTTTGTAGCAACTGAATATCATTACTTAATTTCTTTGCATTCCTTAAGTAAACCAGAAAGTTGAATTTTGAGGTTTTTGTGCACCTCAATATGTTAAGTTTGAGAAGTTTCTCTGGCTCTGTGTGTAAGTTGTTATAGTCTATGACACTTTGTTTTATTCTCTTAACTCAAAGGGCCACACAAAAGAGTCCTTTTGGATGCAGGTGCTGTATTCCACCACACTGTGCATTGTTTTCAAATTAATATTTTTTTAAAGATTTATTTATTTATTTATTATGTATGCAGTGTTCTGTCTGCATGTACCTCTGCCCACCAGAAGAGGGCATCAGTTTTCATTACAGATGGTTGTGAGCCACCATGTGGTTGCTGGGAATTGAACTCAGGACCTCTGGAAGAGCAGCCAGTGCTCTTAACCTCTGAGCCATCTCTCCAGCCCCAAATTAATATTTTGAGAGGACCAGTGATCAAAATAGATATCAATTTAGACACAAAACAGAAATGACAATAGAAAAAAAACTGACATCTGTATGTCAGGAAATATTTACATTTCATACACTAAATTTATAATGACATTTTATACTTCATACTTTTATTCCAGAAATAATAATGCAATCTTTCACCTCTTTCACCCAAAGCATCAAACATATTTTTGGTCCATCATTTTTGCTTTTGTTTAAAAGTATTTAGCAACACAACAGTCTCTGGGTTTTCCCCATCCTCAATTTATCTTCCACCATATCTATATACCAGGAAAAGGGAACATTAATGCCTGTCTTTGACATAGGAATCTTGAATTCCCTGTTAAGAACAGATTTCCTTATTAAGACATCTAAATGTCAGGATAAAGGAATGAACTACATATGGTCATCTTATCGATGTAAGATTTATTTTAATGAAAATCATCTGTGCTCTAACCAATGAGCAATGAATTATTTTTCCTAGATAAATGTGGAGATTAACTTGAATAGTTTGAAAAGACAGAACTGGCTTTTCTGTGTTAATTTTTACACTTGGAATGACTTACTTTGGAATAATTTACAATTGTTTTGTGATGATGAATTTACTTAGATGCAGTCTAGCTGGTGTTCATCACAATATAAATGAGGACAGTAAATGTCATTTTTCACAAATGTACCATTAGGCCATCCAGAATTCAAAGGTTTCTTGGCTCTTGATGTCTACCTAGGGTTTGTAGGAATAACTTATTTCTCACTAATTTTATTATGCAATTTTATTACGATATCATCGATAAATCTCTTAAAGCTTGAAGCAAGCACATTAATTAATACAAATAATTAATTAGTTAACTCCCTTCATGTCAATACCTGTGATAACAGATAAATAATACAGATTGTCAGGCCAGGTTGGCATCACTACTCAGTATTTACCAAATAATTTCCAAAGCCCTACCTACCTCCAATCGGAGCAGGAAGCTCGATACAGTTTTCTGAGATGATTAAAAACTCATCTTACATATAATAGGGTTATAGATTTCTCAATAAACTCCAGAACTCCTTTAACTGGATTGGACTTAAATTGTTCCCTTTACTTTTAAATTTCTCTGGACCACAGAGACATGTCAGTGTCACTGTACATCCTAGCCCCTGTATCCTAAATCTGGCCCAGAGAAGGTAGTGGTTTTGACCTCCGCACCTTCCTGCTCTTAGTTAGCATCACTGAACACTAGATCTTGAGCTGGGTCAGCCTCCGCCAAAGCATGCTTTGAGATAGTTTCTCTTCCCTTTTGTGATAGGCTTCCACTGTATTAGTCTAGGTTATTAATGCTTCATCTTTTCTAGGTTCATAATTTCATTTTTAATTCTACAGTTTATCTTTATTACCATATGCAAAATTCATTCAAGCATAGATTTGTTTAAATTTTGACTTTGAAAATTAAAAAAAATAACATGAACAAAAACACAGACTTCAAAACCCTCTGTAGAACACCTACCTTGGTTTTGTGAAATAAAACACATAATCCATCACTTTTGGGTGAATAAAATATAATTTTCCAACAAAACTTCATGTGTTATATTCCGTTTAACAAGGACTTCTACTTTATATTTCTTTTTCTAAAGTTTCACTTTAAAAAACCTCATTATTCCTAATTAAGTTTTGTTAATACCAACCAAACTTTATATGTCTGACCCTCCTTTACTATTTCTGTAGCTTATTCTGACAACATTTTATGAGTATATTTCTTGAAATAAATCTATGAAAAAGTCATTGGACAGTTATGGCAAGCAAAGAGCCTCAGAGATTTCCAGTGTTGTAGTAAGTTATGCAGAGAATTTCCGTGCATCTTAATTTATTAAATTAAAAGCAGTTAAAAAAAGGTAGCTTACCCCAAAAGTTTTCTGGCCATGGGCTCCCTAAACTCGTTGTGTTATTAGCCATAATGTCCACAAGAAAAAGAAGAAGCCAGTGTGTCCAAAACAAGCAGTTTGATTCTATGCCTTCGTGGTTCAGCAAGAGAAAAATAATTTTCACGCCACCCCACATATACTTGTGTTTACATAGAAGGAAGCAAGTGTATCGTGTTTCCTGCTTTTATACTCGAATTAGCAACTGTTTTTCTTATCTTGGAATTCCACATGGCTCCCAGACACAGAACTATTTCCCTCTCGTCATTTCCTACCCTGTTACTAAGTGCCCTCCTTTCAGCTCCATCCAGAGCTGTTTGGGAACAAGAGGCTTTTTCTTGAGACCCCATCCTTCATTTACATGAGGAAGAAGAAAGCAAGGTCCTCACACAACACTTAACATCATCCCTGTGTAATGCTGAGCAATAGATGGCTTTCCTATGTTGAAAGCCCATATTCAATTCTTTTTTTTAAAAACTAATATCCTTTATTTATAAATCTCAGATATTAAAATTCCTAGGTAATCTTTTTCTATATCTGGTATATTGATTTTGAAAATGTACTCCTTCCATTCATTCATGCATATTTAAATATGCTTATTTGTGATTTTGTTACCCTTTTCATTGGGATGCAAATGGTGCGAAATGGAGATCACTTCTATGGGACCAGATAAGGGGAACAGGAATGCAAAACGTTAATTACAGCAGTGTTTTCATGCCTGGCCAGGGTTGCAGTAATCCCATGGCTAGTGAAAACCATAGCCAATGTCCTTCCAACCTCATCATAAGGTCCTCTGCATCAGAAGACACTGGCAGTGGGAAAAAGAGGTGCTAAATGTCACTTAAGCACACTAAAACACATCCCTAGATTGAAAACTGGTAGCACGCACTCACTCACCCTTGAGAACTCTTGCATGAACCCTGGTTCATGGTCAGCTGAAGCAAATGTCACCCTTCTGAGGTCTGTGACATATTCCTGAGAAACCCGAGAAAAACTAAAGGGCAACATGACAACTCATTTTGTAGCCCCAATTCTCCAAAATTGGGGCTGTTTTCTGCTCATTTTTATCAATTTTCATAGATTTAACTACAAATTCACCAGATTAAAATATACACAACTGATGATCTCAAAGAGAATGAAATAATTATAGAAAATTTGAGAACACACTCAGCTTTATGAGTTTTTCAAGATATTTTTATATCTTTGTTTAATAGCATTTACTTTTATGATGTCTTTATGATATTTTTGCCAATGTTTATTTCCACACTTTCCAGTAAATAATCATGCCATTGCTCAAGAAAGGAAAAAGAGCCCACATTTCCACAGTCCCCTTTAATTTGTAATATTGTTGACAAACTGTGTACAGACTGGACCTTGAAAGAACTTGCTGTGTCTAAGATACATGTGTATTGAAATACTCCCCACCTTCCTAAGCTGTATGTACTTTAAATGTGTGTTTTATGTGACCAAAGGCTGCTTAATGTCAAAGAGATTATACTCAAGTATTCCTAACTTCACCTGATCTCTTCAGGCTGATCTGGAGAGTGGAAGGGAGGACTCCCCCTTTGTCTGTGGAGGAAGGGAGCTTATTCTGTCTCGGGGTTGGGATGGAGGCCGAGACTTCCTGGTATTGTTTGCTATTTTACTATCCAGATTTTCTGCCAATATATTTTCACTTTTGCAGATGGTCAGAACCCAGAAGAAAACTTGCTTTCTGTCCATTGGTGACCTGGGGATTCATTTCTCTTCTGTGTAAAGCTCGTTGGTAGCATTAGCTCTTATCTGTGCATATAACCCATGTGGTAAGGATTTGTATTTTTCCCTGGCACAGATCCACACAAGTGAGTGTTTGTGTCTGTGGGATTTTCAGGTCCCATGACTTATCCTGCCATAACAGGAAGTTGATTTTTTTTTCTTTACAAAAATGTCAGGTCTGCCTTTCTACTTTTCACTGTTTCACGCCATGGGTCTTTTGACTTGAGTTCTCCAGCAGTTATGAAATGAATTAGGGTAAGCGCTCTCACCTTGGACGTTCCAGGAATCACTTGCTATCATCATTCAGGCTTCTACCAGAAGTCAGTGCCATGCCCTTGTCCCTGACCCTCTGGGACTGTTTTATTCAAAGAGCTCACTTCCCACCTTATGGCTTTATGTTATATGTCTTAGTGTTCTGTTGCTGTGAAGAGACACCATGACCATGGCGACTCTTGTAAAGAAAAATAACCACATTGTATATGTGCTTTTGTCTGTTCCAGTTGCTCTAACAAAATACCACACACTTGGGGAAGAAGATTTTAAAACAGCCAAAGCTTATTTTACTGAGTCCAAAGTCTAGCTAGGATTTTTGAGTTCGAGGTTTGCACTGATTTGGTGTCTGTTGTGGGCACTTCCTCTTGAAACTGGAGTCTTTTTACCCTCAAGGTTGCAGGTAAAAAAAGACTTGCCATTGGCTTCTCTCCTAAGAGCACTTTTCTCACTGTCCAGGCTTCCCTTGCCTCAGGTCCCTCCTCCTAATGCCATCACCTCTGCTGTGTAGGGCAGTAATACCTTAGTGACAGGAAGAATGTTTAAATAGTAAAAGAGAGCCCTTCCCCAGAGTCTTGCTTCCTGGGTGAGCTTGTCACATGATGCCACCTGCCAGAGCTCAACAGAGGCCGGTGCTGTGGCTTTTAATCTCCAGAACTGTCAGCTAAATAAACCTCTTTTCTTTATTTATAATGTACTCTGACTTAGATGCATTTTATAGCAACATAAAATGGACCAGTTGAGGAAATGTATTAATCTTGATACTCATTTCTGTCTCTGCTGGCTAAAATAACAATAACAACACAGTAGAACTTGAATTAATAATTATTAAATAAGAAAATATGATAATTTGAAGATACTTAACATGGAAATATTTCTGATATTCCTAGTCAGGTTAGTAAATATGTCACCTAACACTTCAAAACAAAAGTTGAAAAGTTCTGTTCTTAGACATCAATATTTTAAAACATTGAGATAACTTGGTAGAAAAGAGCATTGTCACATTTAAGAGAAGATGCAGGGTTGACTCTGAATGTCCTGTTTAGCTTTGGAAAGTCTTTCAAACCTATCATGGGTTTAGTGACTCTCAGGTTGAACTGATCCAGATGAACTGTCTGATCTGAGAGTGTTCTTAGAACATGTAAGAGCCACTTCTAAAAGGAAAAACGTCTAAATCTGTTTTAAGAACTTCAAGTTTTAAAAAAGTCATCTGAAGTCTCAAGTTGAGTGGACGTACACTGTGGCTCCCCTCTTTAGACGTCCCGAAGTTTGGCTTCTTTCTCCTTAAACTCACTCACTCTGGGAAGGGTTGGCAAAGTTTTAAAGAAGATCGAACCATCAAAATAAGACTGTTTATGTGAAATAAAGAACTGCCGGGTTAGAAAAGTTTACAGAGCGCCGTGGGGGAAAAATGAGTTCCAGCCCGCATTATATTTCACAGTAAATTGGTCTTTGTAAGCGCCTGTGTGGGGCTGTGGGGAGAACCAACAGACCGAAGCAAGGCATCGGCTTAAAGCTGACCTGTAGGAAGCCTGCATGGATCGGCCTCAGGAGCCACCACAGGTGTGGGAAAGCTGCCCTGATGGCATGGGTATAGGAAAGTTGGGTCTGACCTAAGGGAGGCAGTCCCAGCGACCCAGACTGACCAGCTCGGCTTCCACCCAGGCCCACATCCTGGGCCTTGGGTTGGCCCACCCTAATATCTACCCATATGGAGTAGGTGAAGGGGTCCTGTAAAACAGCCGCAGGATCTCCATGTTGGGGCAACAGCAGGATATCCAAGAGCACTTTTGGTGAGGGTCCAGTGATGATGGTGTGTCAGAGGCCAGAGTCCTTGAACCAGACCAATTGACTCATTGCCGTGAACATTTGCAGGTGGGGCTGATTGGACAAAAATGTACACTGCAGGACACACCACAGCTCCCAGGGCCACTAGGAGGAACGGAGAGGTGTTGGGGAGTCAGGAAAGATGAAGGAGAGAGGTGGGGGTTTTGTCTGTTTTGTTTTTAATTAATTTGGAGGGGATTTCCTTTGGGGGGATGCTGTAGGGGTGAGGGGTAGATATGGAGGGTCTGGGAGGTGAGCAGGACTGGGGGTACATGATGAGAAATTCCCAAAGGATCAATACAGAATTATGTCATAAAAAAACCAACATGAAAAAAAGCAGTGGTATTTCTATACAGAAATGAAAATAATCTTAAAAAAGACATTAAGAAAAATCATCACATTACCAATAAAAAAATAAACTGCCCAGTAATAAACTTAGCAAAAATTTGAACGTTTACACATTTGAAATTTATAAAACATTGATAAAGAGAATTCAGGAAGGTACAAAAAAAAGATATCCTGTGTTCATTAATTGGAAGAACATTACTAAAATGTCTACTTCTTGGATCATCTGCAAATTCCAAAGAATCCCCATCAACTTAAACTCATTTCAGTTTTTTTGTTTGTTTTTTAAGAAAAAATTTTAATTCATTTTACATACCCAAGATCCCCCTCTTCCCTCCTCCTGCTCCTCCAGCCTCCCCCTCCCAACCCACTCCCCATTCCCTCCTACAAGAAGGAGGCCTCCCATGGGGAGGTACATTTAGTAGAGGCAGGTCCAAGCCCCTCCCCGTGCCTCAAGGCTGTGTGAAGTGTCCCATCATAGGTAGTGGACTCCAAAAAGCCCACTCATGCACCAGGGATGGATTCTGATCCTACTGCCAGGGGACCCCCCCAAGCAGATCAAGCTACACAACTGTCTTTCTATGCAGAGAACCTAGTCCAGTCCCATGCAAGCTCCACAGCTGTTGATCTAATTTCATCTTCTTCTTTCTTCTCCTCCTCGTCCTCGTCCTTTTTCTTTCACAGGTAGTTGTTTCATTCTTTCCCAGAGAAGAAAGTCACTTGGTAAAAGTGGGAGGATTATCTTTCGCAAGGTGACTTCAGAGTACAAAGAATGTGGCCTCTTCTGAAATGTACTGTCATATTTTAAACAAACTTTTAATTTTATAAGAGTTTAGGTATAACCCATCCTTTATAGAATTTTATGGCTGGGAATTTGTTGAAACTTTGTGTTTTCCTTTGGAAACTGTCTTTCTCTG